TCTATTTTGGCTTTTGTTGCCAATGCTTTTGGTGTTTTGGTCATGAAGTCCTTGCCTACTCCTATGTCCTGGATGGTTTTGCCTAGATTTCCTTCTAGGGTTTTTATGGTGCTAGGTCTTATGTTTAAGTCTTTAATCCATCTGGAGTTAATTTTAGTGTAAGGTGTCAGGAAGGGGGTCCAGTTTCTGCTTTCTACACATGGCTAGCCAGTTTTCCCAACACCATTTATTAAACAGGGAATCCTTTCTGCATTGCTTGTTTTTGTCAGGTTTATCAAAGATTGTATGGTTGTAGATATGTTGTGTTGCCTCCGATGCCTCTGTTCTGTTCCATTGGTCTATATCTCTGTTTTTGGTACCAGTACCATGCTGTTTTGATTCATGTAGCCTTGTAGTATAGTTTGAAGTCTGGTAGTGTGATGCCTCCTGCTGTGTTCTTTTTGCTTAGAATTGACTTGGCTATGCGGGCTCTCTTTTGGTTCCATATGAAGTTTAAGGTGGTTTTTTCCAGTTCTGTGAAGAAGGTCATTGGTAGCTTGATGGAGATAGCATTGAGTCTGTAAATTACTTTGGGCAGTATGGCCATTTTCACAATATTGATTCTTCCTAACAATGAACATGGAATGTTTCTCCATCTGTTTGTGTCCTCTTTATTTCGTTGAGCAGTGGTTTGTAGTTCTCCTTGAAGAGGTCCTTTACGTTCCTTGTGAGTTGTATTCCTAGGTATTTTATTCTCTTTGTAGCAATTGTGAATGGCAGTTCGTTCTTGATTTGGTTCTCTTTCAGTCTGTTATTGGTGTATAGGAATGCTTGTGATTTTTGCACATTGATTTTGTATCCTGAGACTTTGCTGAAGTTGCTTATAAGTTTCAGGAGATTTTGGGCTGAGATGATGGGGTCTTCTAGATATACAATCATGTCGTCTGCAAATAGAGACAATTTGGCTTCCTCCTTTCCTGTTTGAATACCCTTTATTTCTTTTTCTTGCCTGATTGCTCTGGCTAGAACTTTCAGTACTATATTGAATAGGAGTGGTGAGAGAGAGCATCCTTGTCTAGTGCCGGATTTCAAAGGGAATGCTTCCAGTTTTTGCCCATTCAGTATGATATTGGCTGTTGGTTTGTCATAAATAGCTTTTATTATTTTGAGATACATTCCATCAATACCGAGTTTATTGAGGGTTTTTAGCATAAAGTGCTGTTGAATTTTGTCAAATGCCTTCTCTGCGTCAATTGAGATAATCATGTGGTTTTTGTCTTTGGTTCTGTTTATGTGGTGAATTACGTTTATAGACTTATGTATGTTGAACCAGCCTTGCATCCCCAGGATGAAACCTACTTGATCATGGTGGATAGGCTTTTTGATGTGCTGTTGCAATCGGCTTGCCAGTATTTCATTGAAGATTTTTGCATCTATGTTCATCATGGATATTGGCCTGAAGTTTTCTTTTCTTGTTGCGTCTCTGCCGGGTTTTGGTATCAGGATGATGTTGTCCTCATAAAATGATTTGGGAAGGATTCCCTCTTTTTGAATTATTTGGAATAGTTTCAGGAGGAATGGTAAGAGTTCCTCTTTGTGTGTCTGGTAGAATTCGGCTGTGAACCCGTCTGGACCTGGGCTTTTTTTTGTGTGGTAGGCTCTTAATTGCTGCCTCAACTTCAGACCTTGTTATTGGTCTATTCATAGTTTCAGCTTCCTCCTTGTTTAGGCTTGGGAGGACACAGGTGTCCAGGAATTTATCAATTTTCTACAGATTTACTAGTTTTTGTGCATAGAGTTGTTTGTAATATTCTCTGATGATGGTTTGAATTTCTGTGGAATCTGTGGTGGTTTCTCCTTTATCGTTTTTTATTGCATCCATTTGGTTATTCTCTCTTTTCTTTTTTCTCAGTTTGGCTAGTGGTCTATTTTGTTGATCTTTTCAAGAAACCAGCTCTTGGATTTATTGATTTTTTGAAGGGTTTTTCGTGTCTCTATCTCCTTCAGTTCTCCTCTGATCTTAGTTATTTCTTGTCTTCTGCTAGGTTTTGAGTTTTTTGCTCTTGCTCCTCTAGCTCTTTCAATTTTGACAATAGGGTGTCAATGTTGGTTCTCTCCACCCTTCTCATGTGGGCACTTATTGCTATATATTTTCCTCTAGAGACTGCTTTAAATGTGTCCCAGAGATTCTGGCATGTTGTGTCTTCGTTCTCATTGGTTTTGAAGAACTTCTTTATTTCTGCCTATTTCATTGTTTATCCATTCAACATTCAAGAGCCAGTTGTTCAGTTTCCATGAAGCTGTGTGGTTCTGAGTTAGTTTCTGAATTCTGAGTTCTAACTTGATTGCACTATGGTCTGAGAGACTGTTTGTTATGATTCCAGTTGTTTTGCATTTGCTGAGGTGTGATTTACTTCCAATTATGTGGTCAATTTTAGAGTAGGTGTGATGTGGTGCTGAGAAGAATGTATATTCTGTGTATTTGGGGTGGAGAGTTCTGTAAATGTCTATCAGGTTTGCTTGTTCCAGGTCTGAGTTCAAGCCCTGGATATCCTTGTTAATTTTCTGTCTGGTTGATCTGTCTAATATTGTCAGTGGAGTGTTAAAATCTCCCATTACTATTGTGTGGGAGTCTAAGTCTCTTTGTAAGTCATGAAGAACTTGCCTTATATATCTGGGTGCTCCTGTATTGGGTCCATATATATTTAGGATTGTTAGCTCTTCTTGTTGTACCGATCCCTTTACCATTATGTAATGACCTTCTTTGTCTCTTTTGATCTTTGTTGCTTTAAAGTCTATTTAACAGAGATGAGAATTGCAACTCCTGCGTTTGTTTTGCTCTCCATTTGCTTGGTAAATCTTTCTCCATCCCTTTATTTTGAGCCTTTGTGTATCCTTGCATGTGAGATGGGTTTCCTGGATACAGCACACTGATGGGTTTTGGCTTTTTATCCAATTTGCCAGTCTGTGTCTTTTGATTGGTGCATTTAGTCCATTTACATTTAGGGTTAATATTGTTATGTGTGAATTTGATACTGCCATTTTGATGCTAGCTGGCTGTTTTGCCTGTTAGTTGATGCAGATTCTTCATTTTGTTGATGCTCTTTAGCATTTGGTATGTTTTTGGAATGGCTGGTAGTGGTTGTTCCTTTCTATGTGCAGTGCCTCTTTCAGGAGCTCTTGTAAAGCATGCCTGGTGGTGACAAAATCTTTGAGTACTTGCTTGTTTGCAAAGGATTTTATTTTTCCTTCACTTCTGAAGCTCAGTTTGGCTGGATATGAAATTCTGGGTTGAAAGTTCTTTTCTTTAAGGATGTTGACTATTGGCCCCCACTCTCTTCTGGCTTGTAGAGTTTCTGCCGAGAGATCTGCTGTGAGTCTGATGGGCTTCCCTTTCGGGTGACCCGACCTTTCTCTCTGGCTGCCCTTAGCATTTTCTCCTTCATTTCAACCCTGGTGAATCTGACGATTATGTGCCTTGAGGTTGCTCTTCTTGCGGAATATCTTTGTGGTGTTCTCTGTATTTCCTGGACTTGAATATTGGCCTGCCTTGCTGGATTGGGGTACTGTGCCTATTTTTATACTAGTCATACTCATACGGTATGACTTATCTTTTCTTGATTAGGCCTTTGGACTATTGGCTTTAGTTCTTCTTTAACATCTGGTTTTAGAAATATTTTATAAACATAGGTTGAGGTTTATTTAGATGGGTAGATCTGAACCTTACTGCCAATGTCAGTAAAACTTTTTCCCACAAAGGTGCCACTCCACGGAGATCTTTAATTTGGTTTGATCATACACAATGGTGCCAGTAAGTTAACATCCAAATTAGCTATGATCTGATTATGAACAGGAAAGTTGTCAGTGATCTGAAGGGGAAAAAAAGGAAGAAAGAAACAGGAGGGAACTTAATTTTGCAATTCTTTTTATATAATAAATCCCTGTCTTTCAATTTGATGGGCTTGATGTCATAAAGGAAAATAATATTTCTCATTTCAAGATCCACGGTTAGCAGTTACAGACTGAAACAGGGAGAATATCTGTGGATTATTTGAGATACCCCTATCTGAGTAGCTCATTGACTCCAAGGGAGAGGTTACTTTTAATATTTAGAGAACTTTCTCTTTGCAAGTTTGAGAATAAAATAAGAAGTTGAGTACCTGATTTCTTCCCAAGCAGTGTCATTGATTTGCCCACTGATTTTTTTTCTTTTATTTTCTTAGCTGGACCATGACAATTATTTTTCTATGTACTTTCTGCATAGACGTATTTACAGGTGTCTTTACCAAGAGGCACTGTCCTCTAGTGCTTGATGACTGTAATGGGAGCATTTAGTTGTTTTATCCGTGAAGCCATTAGTTTATTTTATTTGTATTCTAAGCCACTTTTGAAGATGTAGATTTAGAGATTTGGTAATGGAGCTATTTCCCATTACAAATTTGTTACATATTAAAATTCCTTGCTTCTCTATTTAAGGCTGTTCACAAAAAGTGAGGAAAGAGCTGGAGGTCACATCTTCAGAATCTGCTCCTCAAGGAACCTATCCCTGAAGTGTTTAATGGACTCATTCTTTCCTTCCTTCCTTGCAGTTGTGGTTAGAGTTAACTTTATTTTCACAGGAAGAGCTTTGGGATACACTCTGAAAGATTTAGTCAAACATCTACAGCTTTTCTAAATCTGTCTCGTTTCCTAAATGGTTTGAGACTTCCAAAGTCATTCTTGGGATGTTCTCACTTTGCCTTTTTCATTCATTTTTTTTCAGCCGATATAGATCTGGGAACAGACAATATTATTTTTTAAAATTAGCTATGGGAATTAAAGTATTTTTAATTACCAACTGCAGGAAAAAGTTGTGTGAGAATAAAAATTAATCATGGCATACTATATGGCTCAATAGTGAATAATAATTACATAATCATAACTGTAAATAGTATTAATTTAAGCCCAATTTTGATATAACTCTGTTGGAAGAATAGGGGAGGGAGGTATGGGATAATAGTTATATAAGAGAGTTAAACTTCCAAGTATCATAATAGTGTCACAGGATTCTTTGGGTGTCACTTTACAAGCCAGAAACCTCTGTGGCTGGTGGTGCCTCTGCTTGAGTTCTCTTCGCACCTGCTGGACTTGTTCTGTTCACTTGGTCTGGCAGGCTGCACTCAGCTTGCACTACTGGCCCAGATCCCACTACTGCCAAGAGCGAGCCAGGAACATGGTGGCAAGGGGTTTATGAATGAGCAAGCGTGGGGTCCAGCCACTGTGCACCACCGGGCACACTGGCTGCTGTGGCAGGACAGGCAGCTCCAGGTACTGGCACAGTGCCAGCTCTGTGTGAGGCTGCAACTGGACAGACATACTACAAGCAGCTTCCACTGCAGGCACCAGTGTCTGGATGATGGGAATGTGGTAGTGTGCAAAAGCTTAGAGACGCCAGGAACCGTGGAGCCCCAAAGAGGGTGTTACCACTGCTCACAGCTCTTGCTTGGGGAGCCCTGAGGTCTCGGCTCCCAGAAGGGCCGCAGCTTTTCTCTTCCTCTCGTCACCTGCAGCGTGGCAAGTGGTGGGGTGTGTTTCAGCCTGTTTGTGTCACAGCTCTTTCAGTCCCTCTGCCCTGCTCCAGCCCATGGCTCCTGGGCTAGCCTAACTCCACCACTGTTTCCAGTTGCATGGTGTGGCCACCCAGCACTGGCAGAGGCTGGGAGAGCTATAGCATTACAGCCCCTTCCTTTAGCTCCCACCTGCAGCTTGGTAAGCCCACCAGGAAAGTGTTACAGCTTATTTTGCTTCTGCCGTTTGGTGGGTTCTGAGTTCTTTAGTCCCACATCTAGGAAGAATGAAGTTATACTGACAATGGGAGGGAGAGCAAGGCAGAGAAGAGCTTTATTGGATGACCAAACAGCTCTGAGTGGAGAGGAGACCTGAAGTGGGCAGCTCCTATCCATAGGCAGATAGTGCAGATGAGTGTCTGAATCTGGCTGAGTCCAGGGTTTTTATGGGCTTAAAGTGGAGGAAGTGTGTACTGATTGGTCCATGGGCAGGTCCAGAAAAATACCACTCAATTGGCCAAAGACATCAAGGAAGTTCTCACTCCCCTGCCACCACTTCACCCAGAACCTGCAGCCCTGACCCCCAGGCTTTAGGCTTGAAGGTGGGGTTTCACTGGAGACCCTTCCTGCCTAGGGATACCTCCTATCACCATCAACATGCCATCTGTAGTACCCAGGCTATCCATCTGGAGGGGTAGCTGCAGACCCATGCTGAGCCACCCTCAGCCCTTTGGCCTCCCTTCTGTGCTCATTGGTGTCCTAAGTTTCACCCTCAGAATCAGCTTTCAGAGGGGGGCCAAGGCAGCCAGGGTCTGGCATGTCAGTGCTGCCCAGTGTATGCATACCTGTCTTGATTGCAACAATGCCCAGGCTTGGCTATCAGAACATGTTTACAACTTTGCTCTGTAGTGGAGCAGACATGGAGAACAGGGAGAGGCCAGGGAGTGGAAACAGATACTTCCAGCTTTAGCTTCAAGGCGCCTTCCTTCCCACTGCCCCCGTACCAAGAGTGCAGAGTGCAGGGATACCTAGGTTTAGAGCCATGGCTGGGCAGCTGTAACTGCACCTGGGAGCACAGTCTCCTGCCTTGCCAACTTAGTAGAGTGCAGGACTCCTGCTGGGATCATCTGTTCCCAGCCCCCACTGACTTCACAGAGTCATAGCCCTGGCTGCACCTCCCTTGCTGCAGCTGGTGTCCTCTCAGTGGCAACTCCAGATGGGCCACTGCCACCATCAAAATGAAGTCAAAAGGTAAACTTTTTAAGTTGCTAACTCAATGTATTATTTAGAAATATGAAGCAAACAATGGAAAAATTTGAAAGTGATTGCCACTTTTAGACCTAATTTTTAAATGATGAAAATTATTAACTTTGATAGAAATAGAAGAAGAATGTTAAAGTCATCTAGAATAGAAAGAACAGAGCATGCAACTTCGACCAAAGGTGGGAGAAGGGGAAAAAAAGAAATTGAATTACATATGTGGACTTTTTCCAGAAATTCTCTGTGGTAGTTTTGGTTTGTAAAAAAATTATTCCAATGAACTTAAAGGTGTATATGTTACCAGGTAAGCATTTTGCTTAGATGATAAAACTGGTTGTTGTTGTTTGGAAACCCTAAGACGATAGTTTGCTTGTATACTAGGACTGCTGATTTGTTAATTTGAATAACTTTTGGTTAAAATATATTTTCTTAAAGAAAGCTTTGGAGCAGGCAATGTCCAAAGCTTAAAAATTTTAGAAGCAATGTGTTTTTTTAATGAAAACAATAGGAAGCAAAATTTTTTTATGATGATTTTATGACAATTAAAAAAATTATAAAATTGGGCCAGGTGTGGTGGCTCATACCTGTAGTCCCAGCATTTTGGGAGGCTGAAGTGGGTGGATTGTTTTAGTCCAGGAGTTTGAGACTAGCCTGGGCAACATGGCAAAACCCCATCTCTACAAAAATTAGCTGGACATGGTGGCAGACATCTGTAATCCCAGCTACTGGAGAATCTGAGGCAGGAGAATCATGAGCCTCGGAAGGTCAAGACTGCAGTGAGCTGTGATTGTGCCACTGCATTCCAGCCTAGGCAACAGAGACCCTATCTAAAAAAAAATCATAAAATTGGTTTAAAGTTGCATTCCAGGAGCCCAAAATAATACATGTAAAAAGTATGGTTAACTTTAACTTGTGAACCCAATTAAGATTTAAAGCTGAAAGAGAGTTACTAGAATTTGTGTTTTAACTTGTCATAATTTTTAAAACAGGAGACTCTTCAGAATCAAAAGGAAACACTGGCAAAGCAACACAAGGAAGCCATGGCAGTTTTTAAAAAGCAGGTGATTTCCTAAGGATAGACAAACACTACCATTTTAAATATTGCATTTCCTCGCCCTCCCATGAATATTATGGCAAGCTCTTCTCCATACTCACCAAAACAGAAAAGGAGAACAAGGTATTATGGGAAGTAGGAAATGAATAAATGTAAAGTAGTAGAATGGGTTTGTTAAGGAGGGAAATTGGGAAAACTATTTTCTTGGAGATGGAGATACATTTTCATCAGTCCTAAATAATTTAGGTGAGTCGGGGGTGTGTGTTCTTGTTCTTTCTTTCCTCTTTCTTTTATTAGAACTTCCTAGACTCGTGCTTCTTCCATAGTGCCCTTTTACCCAAGTAGTGATAACGTTATGATCAAAATATGAGATGCAAGTAGGGAGATGTCAAGGATTAGAAGAGATGATTATTATGTACTTGAAACCTCCATAAATATCAATCATCAATAACTAAGAAATAGTAGTACAAAAATGAGAAAAAAATCAAGAAAGGAATTGCTGTACATACCTTCAGCTAATTTGAATTTGATAGCTTTTCTTGACTAAAATTTCCCTTCAGTTCCTAGTAAGAAAATATAATAGTTTTAGAAAATGTGCTCATGTAAAATATCCTGTGAAAGTTTCCTTATATCTATCTCACATCATTATTGTTTCTTCCTTTTTCCTTTCCTGTCTTCATCTTTATAATTCCAGTGTGTGTAGATGTATGAATTTGTTTAAGCAAATGACAGACTTTCTTCCTTTAATCTGAGATAGGCCTAACCAAGGTTTTGAGAGTTTTAATTGAAGGTTAAGGAAGCAAAAGCCAAAAGTGTAGCATAGTATTCTCTAGGAAAGACCAATTCCACATCTCGGCTGTCACAAAGGACTTTGGGCAAGATATATCTGAAGGGTAGAGGAGAAAGTGCTCTAGGGTTGTTTTTTTGTTTTCGTGTGTGTGTGTGTCTGTGTATGTGTGTGTGTAAGGGATTTTGAATACAAGGAGTGGGAAAAAGGGAAGTTCTAAATAAAAATTTCATTTCTTGAAAATTTTGCATAATACCCTTGTGATGCTGAGAATATTTAATAATCTTCCCTTGGTGTATGTATGTTAGTTTTTCTGTTTTAAAATGTCATTTTATTTATCTATCTATTTATTTATTTAGGAACAGTCTTGCCCTGCTGCCTAGGCTGGAATGCAGTAGCGCGATCTCAGCTCACTGCAATTTCTACCTCCAGGGCTCAAACCTCCCACCTCCTCAGCTCACTGCAATCTCTACCTCCCAGGACTCAAATTCTCCCACCTCCCATGTAGCTGGGACTACAGGTGCTTAAAAAATTTTTTTTTAAAGTTTTTTTGTCAAGACAAGTCTCACTATATTGCCCAGGCCAGTTTCGAACTCTTGGGCTCAAGCAATTCTCTCGCTTCAGCCTCTCAAAGTATTTCGATTACAGGCATGAACTACCATGCCTGGCCTTTAAAAAGTCAATATTTTTTTAAAACAGGTCATAATTTGTTAGGCTACACATGAGTTAAAAAAAATTTTAAACATAAATACTGTCAATGCTGATACAAAGGATATTGATTTACAAAACTGTGCTTTTGAAAATGATACAGGCTGTTATTTAGGCATAGATGGCAAAATATTTAGACATCTAAAAAAAACTTCTGGAGGAAAAAACAAAAATTTCAAGGATAATTGGTATCTCTAATCAGTGTGATTAATGCTAATTTTGAGCTGGGTGTAGTGGTGTGCACTGGTAGTCCCAGCTACTTGGGAGGCTCAGGCAGGATCCCTTGATTCCTGCAGTTGGAGTACAGACTGGGCGACTTGGCAAGACCTCATCTCAAATAAATAAACAAATAGTTTATTTACTTTGGTGACTGGCTTTTTTCTCTTTTTATATCATTATTTTCTGAATCTGAAAGTAACATATTCACATTATATCCATTTCAAGCAATATAGATGTGTAAAGTGTTTTAGTGTCAGTGACCAGTGTAGATCACTGTTAAGAGTTTACCTTACTTTATTTTAATTTTTAATATTGTTTATCAGTTGCAAATGAAGATATGTACCCTGGAAGAAGAAAAGGTATTTATTAATTTTTAAAATTTTCTATTAAAGATATTTATTTTTAGAAAATAATTTAAAACATAGATAAATGCCTTTTATTATCTATTGTTTATCATAACAGAAAAGACCATTAGTAACAAACTAACGGAGATGGTTAACTGCTTAAAATCTTAGAAACAGAAAGGACCCAAGATAATCATGTTACTTTACTTCTGTCATTTTACAGTTCAGAATACAGAGGCCTAACAAGATTAAATCATTTGCCAAAGGTCTCACTTTGAAGTTGCAAAATTGGAACTAGAACCCAGACCTCTTCAGCCTCCAAATTAATGTTCTTCCTATTCTACTGCAATGTTTCTATTAATCGTGATATGTTTTTAGTGCTTTTTCAATGTAATTACTGTCTTTAAAAAATATGGGCCAGGTGACGTGGCTCATGCCTGTAATCCCAGCACTTTGGGAGGCTGGGGCGGGTAGATCACAAGGTCAGAAGTTTGAGACCAGCCTGACCAACATGGTGAAACCCTGTCTCTACTAAAAATACAAAAATTAGCTGGGCGTGGTGGCACATGCCTATAATCCCAGCTACTCAGGAGGCTGAGGCAGGGGAATTGCTTGAACTCGGGAGGTGGAGGTTGTAGTGAGCCGAGATCACGCCACTGTACTTCAGCATGGGCAACAGAGCGAGACTCTGTCTGAAAAAAAAATGGAAATGTCTGGCAACTGGATGCAGACCAACTGGCAAAGGGTAGAAAGCGCCAACAACCCTAGAAATTTATCTGGCACTAAATATATTCTCTAGCTATTTAATAGTTAATACATATTTTTATTTTATCAATGAACATACCATTAATAATAATCACTTATAGTTTATTTTTAACCAAAGATCTTGTTTAAAAAATTCTCTCATATTTTTATATTCTTTAGACAAATGTACCTGTATCTTATTAATCATAATATATTTATTCTAGTTATATGAATTAAGTAATTATAAAATATCTATAAGTTCTCAGGTGGGATTCTCTACTGATAAAATGATTTGTCATTATAACAAGATACTCTATTTCATGATAATTGTAACCATATAAAGGCCTTATTGTAATTTTATGATATTTTGAAATCATTAGAAATGTAATTTGTAGTACAGAGACAGGGTTAAAGGCTGTGAAATATTTGGTTTACAGTAGAGATTTTGGTTTTTGAGCTCTTATATTTTACCCTTTTGTGTTATCATTTGCATTGGAAAGTATTGAAATAGTGTTTTTTACTTAAAGGGAAGATATCAACTTGCTACAGAAATAAAAGAAAAAGAAATAGAAGGATTGAAGGAAACATTAAAAGCACTACAGGTAAAAAAAATAAGTATTGTTTAAAAAGTAGCAGTTATTTTAGCATTGTATCAGTAAAATTCCATTAGATATGTAAGCTGCAAAGCTGACAATTCATATCTAATATATTACATAACTTAATACTTTTTCCTAAAAGCCTTGTTTCAAATTAGGAATTTTGCTTTACCATATTTTATTTTTAAGAAAATTAAAATAATGTTTAATATATCTTATATTAATAGATATATTTTTATCTAATAGATATAGTTAATTATATATTAATAGATATAGTTAACTATAAATATAGTTAAATAGATATATTTTTACTATTAACTATATTAATAGATATAGTTAACTATATATTAATAGATATAGTTAAATAGATATATTTTTAACATTTCATACATAAGGAAAATGAGTAAGACATATATCTTGTAACTGATTTACTCATGGTCCTTAAAAATTAACATAGCATTAACTGAATTTTTACTTTGTGCTAAGTACTGTGTTTATTTTTTGTAAATACAAAAACTAAGAAAATATTACCTTTGCCCTTAAGTTTTTCATAGTCTCATAGAGAATACAGAAGTATTTAATGAGGATTAATTCAATATATATTGAAGGTCTACTATGTACAAACACTTTTCTCAGTATTGAGGATACAGCAATGATAAAGAAGACAAAAATCTCTGCCCTTGTGAAGCTTACAGTCTAATGGTGAAGCCATAAAGTAAAATGAAGTAACTAATGAAATAACGATTGTTGGGAAGACAATATTCATGCAATTTCAGATAACATTAATTAAAAAGAGCAAAATATATTTTTATGTTAGGATCCTGAAGGTCACCACTTTAATCAAGTGATTGTGTTAGCAATGTTAATAATGGTACAGCTTTTCCATGGATCCACTGTTACTAAGGAGCACAGAACTTCACCTATGTAATTTTCTTGCAAAAAATCTTTGAAATCTAATTATGGTAAAACAGTTAGACACAATCACAATGTGTGGTACATTCTATAAGCCATCTAAGCTGTACTAAAAACACTTCAGTGTTAAACAGGGAAACAACAGACACTGGGACCTACTTGAGTGTGGAGGATGGGAGGAAGATGAGGATCATAAAAGGACCTATTGGGTTCTGTGCTTATTACCTGGGTGATGAAATCATACACCCAACTCCTGTGACATGCAATTTACCTATATAACAGACCTACACATTTACCCCTGAACCTGAAAGCTAAAACCAAAACAAAACAAAACTTCAGTGTAATGAAAAAAGAAAGGGGATCTACTCTTGATTAAAAGAATAAAGAGAGGCCAAGGCAGGCAGATCACTTGAAGTTGGAAGTTCAGGACTAGCCTGGCCAACATGGTGAAAACCCATCTCTACTAAAAATACAAAAATTTGCTGGGTGTGGTGGGCATGCATCTGTAGTCCCAGCTACTTGGGAGTCTGAGGCAGGAGAATTGCTTGAAGCTGGGAGGTGGAGGTTGCAGTGACCCAAGATCATTGCACTTCAGCCTGGGGGACAAGAGTGAGACTTTGTTTGAAAAAAAAAAAAAAAAAAAAGAAAAAGTGGTTGCCAGGGATTGAAGGAGGAAGAGATGAAAAGGCAGAGCACAGAAGATTTTTAGGGCAGTAAAAATACTCTGTATGATACTCTAATGGTGGACACATATCATATACTTGTCCAAACCCAGAGTGAATAATACCAACAGTGAATTCTAATGTAAGCTGTGAACTTTGGGTGATGATGATGCCAGTGTAGGTTCATTAATTGTAACATGTACCTGTATTAGTCTGTCTTCACATTGCTATAAAAAGCTACCTGAGACTGAGTAATTGATAAGAAAAGAGGTTTAATTGACTAATAGTTCCACAGCCTATATAGGAAGCATGGCTGGGAGCCCTCAGGAAACTGAAAATCATGGCGGGAGGGAAAGTAAGCATGTTTAACCATGGTGGAGCAAGAGAGAGAGAGCGCTGAAGGGGAAGTGCTACACGCTTTTAAACAACCAGATCTCATAAGAATTCCATCATGAGACAGCACTAAGGGGATGGTGCTAACCATTAGAAACTGCCCCCATTATCCAATCACCTCCACCAGTCCCCTCCTCCAGCAATGTGGGATTACAATTTGACATGAGATTTGGGTAGGGACACAGAACCAAACCCCTCTGGTGGGGGATGTTAATTATGGGGGGTTTATATACGTGTGGGGCAAGGAATATATGGTGTATCTCTGTACCTTCCTCTGGATTTTGCTGTGAACCTAAATCTGCTCTAAGAAATTCTTTTTAAAATCATTCTCAGTCCTGCAGCTTCCTAAATTGAATTATAATAATTCTTATTACTAAAATATTTGTTTGTTTTCTTTTTTATAATTTGAGTTATTTTGTAACATGAAAATTAATATATTTATTTTTTGAGAGCAATTTAAGTCATTATCACTTCAAGTATTACCTTCCCCACCAAGTCTTTATATTTTCTCCTTTCAAACTCCAAAGAAGATATATTTTGAATATTCTCATTCTATCCTTCATGTCTCTATACCTTATACACTTTCTATTTCTTTATGCCTGTGAGCTTGCAGTATCTTACGTAATTTCCTTAGATTATCTTTTAGTTCACTAATTCTTCAACTATGTTTTATCTGCCATATAACTTATATTTTAAGTTTTTAATTTTATAATGACCTGTTTCTTTTATAGATGTTCTACTTGGTACTTTTAAAAATCTGCCTTTTTATGGTATCTTATATTTTTCTGATATTTCTTATCTTTTATGTCTCTAATCATTAAAAATATTTTTAATGATATCATTGAGATTCTTCTGTTATCTTTAATTATTAGTGAGTACAAGACTTCCTATTTGCAGTGGCTGCCTGCTGATGCTCCCTCATTGTAAATCTTCCTTTTTAATGTGGTTCATAAATTTTAAATTGTGAGCCCCTCTTTAGTGGAGGTAGTATTTTTCTGATGAACTGTGGAAGTCTTCCTACAGAGCTCTTCTGCATTTGCTTCTGTTCTGAGTCTCACAGATTTCACAGAACAGTTTCTGGTTGTTACCTTAATTTACCATCTAGGATGTACATACCATGCAGGGAGTGTATATTATTAGGACTTTATACCCTTTTGTACTACAAATTTAGGTTTTTCTATTTCTCATGAAATAATTTTTGGTTTTGGATCAGTGATCTAGGCAAAGACATTTTGTTGTGCTGGTAGGCTGAGTTCTTCTAGTCTTCCTTTCTTGGAGTTAGCTGTTCTTCTAGAGTCCTTTCTCTGTACTAAAGTTGTAGATTTCTTGGCTTTGTGCTTACATGGATAGTAAAATCCTGACCTTGCCATGAAAGCCTGTATCTGTGTGTAGGGGTTTCTGGATTACCAAAGCATCAGCTTGCGTACTTACAATTCTGACTATGGGTTTCCTGTCTTACTTTTGATGTCTGACAATTTTCTTATTTTTCTTTTACATTTCAGCTGTATATTAACTTGTTTTATTGAAGCTATATATTTTTCAAAGATTTCACATTAGTTCATTCCACAATGTTTTTAAGATTCACTTGTTTTTTTCTTTTGCAACTATCATAAACTTTTAGAGATATTGCAAGTACAATACAAAGAACTTATTTTCCTGAATGATTTGAGAATAATTTGCCAAACTGATGCACTGTCATCTCATTACTATAGTATATTGTTCTTACAATAAGTGACATTCTCCTGTGAAGCCATAACGCAGCAATCAAAATCAAGAAGTTAACATTGGTACATAACGGTAATGTTCAGGACTCAGTTCATCCAGCTGTCCCAATAAAGTACTTTATAGCAAAAGGATCCACTTTGGAATCCCATGTTTGTATTTAGTTGTCATAGCCCTTTAACCTCTTTCCTAGTCTTTGGTTGCTTTTTATAACTTTGACACTCTTGAAGATCACAGACCAGTATTCTGTAGAATGTTCCTCAGTTTCTGTTTATACAATGTTTCCTCATGGTTAGATTAAGTTTATGTATATCTGGCATGAATATTGCAGAAGTAATGCCATATTATTCTTATTGAATCCTATCAGATAGTTAATAGTTTCAACTTGTGTTATTGTTGGTGATGTTCACTCTGATAATTTGACTAAGGTAATATCTGACAAGTTTCTTCACTGTAAAGTTACTCTTTTCTCCTTTGTAATCACAGTATTTTATGGAGAGACATTTTGAAACTACATAAATACATTTCTCACCAAAGTTTTAATATATTTATTTATATCAATATAGACTCATAGTTTCCTGTTTTGTACAATAGATTAAAATATTTGACTACCATTTATTTTTATCAAATTATTATTGGTTTGGCCAGTGGGAGTCTATTCAAGATGGCTGCTGAGTATTTTTGACATGGCTTCATCATTCTTTTAGCATTTTTCTGCTTTCAGATAAACTAAAAGGTACCAGGATCACCTCATACTTTACCTGATCTTGCCCTAGAATAAACCATTTCTCCATGTTGCCCTGGTTCCTGTTAGTAGAAAACGGCATACAGAAACCAAGACCTGAGTGCTATTACAGTTATTACTGTTGGAGTGTCATTATTCTCAGATCCCCTCAGTGGACAGAGCTAAGGAATATATGTTTATATTTACATACATACATGCATATACACATATACTTGCAGTTATATTTTTGTATCTATGTATTTTGAAAACCATTAGTTTACACTACTGCAAATTACAACCCCAAACCACAAAGATTGTTTTAGTTTATTTGCTTTCTGTATTTATACTTTTATTCTCTTTCAGTGAGAAATCTGACTTTCATTATCCCTAAGACATTGACTTATTTTATAAAACACCCTGTTATGTAACCAGTCCACCATTCCACTGCCCCCTCTTCCTTTATGTGGATGTCTTCCTTTTCCTCCTTGGATTCTGACACCTTCAGCTGAGTTGCCCTTTTGCAGTGTTACCCTCCTCACCTTACTTAGTTTCTGACTCCCCACAGTAGACGGCCCTCCCTTACATGGGGAAAT